ATTCCAAGAGCCGGGCTGTTCTGCCTTTGCCAAGTCTGGTGTCACCTGCACCACTATCTACCTAACAAATTTTTTTAACATTAAAACTTAAATATTACACTAAAAGCACAAGCGACAACAAGTAAATAAATTGGGCACCCTAAAATCAAAAGCTTGTATTTCAAAGGACCCACCACCTATTGGTAAGGCCTTGTATTCAGAATATATAGAGAACTCTTTCAACTCAGTAACTAAAAGACAACTGCCCCTGCACATAGATGACTTCTGTACCTAATCCTGACTGTACTCCACATCTTTATAATAAAATAAAGTAAAAAAAAAAAAATGGCAAAAGCTCTGAACGGACATTTGCTTAAAGAAGACATCTAAATGTCCAACAAGCATATGGAGACATTCTGGACCTTTTGTCATTGGGCAGCTGGAAGTCAAAACCATCATGAGATGCCACCTCACATCCACTAGGATGGCTGTGGTCAAAGACAGGTAGGCGAGGTTCAGGGGCTCAACCTGCCATGCCAGCACTTTGGGAGGCCAAGGAAAGTGGAATATCTGAGCCCACGGGTTCAAGACCCACCTGGACAACTTGGCAAGATATCATCTCTATAATAAATAAAAAATTATCCAGGCACAGTAGTGTGTGCCCGTAGTTCCAGCTACTTGGAAGGCTGAGGTGGAAGGATCGCCTGAGCCCAGCAGGTTGAGGCTGCCATGACCGTGAGCGTGCCACTGCCCTCCAGCCTGGGTGACAGAGCGAGACTCTAACTCAAAAAAAAAAAAAAAAGGGTAACAGCATGTGCTGATGAGGATGTGGAGACCTCGAATACTGCTAGTAGGATTATGCCGTGAAGCAGCCTCTGTGGAAAACAGACTATTAGCTCCCCAGACTGTTAAACATGGTTGCTGTGTGTTGCTGCTAGGAATGGAACCGAGTCGCGAAAAACACATGTCCACACAACACCTGCACAGGAAAGTTCGCAGCAACATTTTCACGAAAGTCGAAAGGAAGGAGGCACTGAACGCGCGGCAGCCCGGACGCACCTTGGACGCCGCGCTAAGTGAAGGAGGCCAATCACAGAGGACTGCACACTGCACGCTTCCACTCCCTGCGGGCAGCCACAAGCACACAGACGCCATCGAGAGACAGGAAGCAGGCTGGCGGCTGTCAGGGGCTGAAGGGCGGATGAGGGGAGATGAGGAGTGATGGCCACACCGTCAAGGGTTTCTTTGAGGAGTCCCAAAACGTTGACTGAAGCTGACTGTGGGGATGCACACACAGCCCTGGGAAGACACTAATAGTTACTGAGCGCGGGCTTTAAGTGGGTGAACTGCATGGCATGTGGATTATGTCTCAATAAAACTGTTTTTTAAAAAAACTTAAATACTTTACTCTAACCCTACAGCAAGAATACCCAGGAGCTCCTGGGCTCACGAACCAGCTGTTGTGCTTTCCAGAGTCTTTTAAACATGCACAACTGCTAAAACCTTCCACGGTCACCACGTACCACGTACGTGACACCTTGAGGGACGTCCAGACCTGGCCCCACCCTAGGTCAGCCTCTCTTCTAGACGCTCTCAACTTGCATTCATTACGATCTCAAAGGAAAAATATGGTGCCTACCTAATTAATTCACAATCATGTACCAAGAATTAAGAACAAAGCTATTAAGCTCTCGTAGGAGAAGGTCTTTTTTAAAGAGACCCATTCATCATGGATTTTAATTTCTCAATGCTATGGTCATGAGCCATGGCTGTTTCCGTACTCAAACCCACAGCCTTTGGGGAACAAGAAACGCACACCCCAGTTCCAGGCCCGGCCCCGCAGGTCGTTGGGGCATGATTGGCTGCTGGCAAGGAGACCGTGATTGATGACAGGCCGGGCCCTGGTCAGTGAGGGAAGGTCCTGGGGGCCAAGCAATGCCTGGACTTAACCCAGGGAGGGGCCACAAGAGGACCCGGCCAGAAGGAGTGACATCATGGGTTATGCAATGTCCACGTCTGCCCATCAGTGTGGGGTCCCCCTCGCCTCCCTCCCCGTCATGTACTCTGCAGAAAGAAGGAGCCTCAGGTGGCCTATGGATAGCCCTGCTCCGGCTCTGGCCAGCCTTGAGCACATCCCTTCCCTTTTCAGGCCTCAGTTTCCCCAACTGTGACCAGCCTCTCCAAACAGCTTGTTCCCACGGCTACGCTCCAACTGGGCCTTCGTGCCAGCTCCCCCTCCCCACTTCAGTCCACGCTTTCCACTGGCCTCCTTGGGTGCTGGCTCAAGCCCGCCCAGGCTGTCTGTCTGTGGCCCCGGCCCTCAGGCAAGCTGAGGAGGACCCTGGCACCCTGGCAGATGCTGAGAGTCCTGGGGGCAAGGGACACACGGGAGCTGTGGGGTTCGAGGGGCTCTGGAGGCTGGGTCCACTACGGCCAGCGGCAGGACCACGGGCAGGTCCCCTGACCTCTGAACGCAGCCCCTCATGGGATCATGTTGGGGACATGGTGGGGGAGGGGGATCAGGAAGGAGGTGGGGGGAGGCTGGGGAGTCCGTGGAGGCCGTGAGGTGGGGGATGTCGGGTGGGGCTGGACACTACGGGCTCCGGTGGGCTCTGGAGTTTGGGTCCGCCACCGGACCTCCTCCTCCCGCCAGGCTCAGCTCCCACGTCCTCACGCAGAAGCAAATAGCCCTGTGACGCGTGGAGCCACGTGAGGACGAAGCGTAGCACACGGGCTGCCGCACACAGACCCCGGCACAAAGCCTGGCCCCCCCGGCACCGCCGCACACAGACCCCGGCACAAAGCCTGGCCCCCCCGGCACCACATGGCCCTGGGGGCTGAAGGCCCGGTGCAGAGGGGTGGCACATCAAACGTCACAGCTGTCCTTGTTCTGACAAGTGACACTAGACACTCTGGCTCCTCGAAAGGAGAGACGGTGCCTCGGGGACCAAAGGCCATCCGAGGGGCAGGACGAGCGTGGGGGCCGGGGCCACGCCACCCTCTCCCGGACCAAACGCAGGAAGGGATGCCCATCACTCCACGACAGGCCCGCCCTCCAGCCATCCTGGGGCCTCCAAGCAGCTCTGAACACACCTGGAACCTCCGCTGGAGGCTGGAAGGCACGTTCACCCGGCGAGGGGCAGCCCTGCCTCTGGATGCCGGTGCTGGCGCCCTTGAAGTGGGCCAAGGGGCCGTCAAGATTGCCATTTCAGCCCTCGTCTCTCCCTGGGTCCCCGCTGCTGCCCGTGGAGGGGTGCAGCCAGCAGCGGCCTGCCTGGGCCCACTGGTCACCTGCCCTCCAGCTCCGGGCTATAGTGGATAATGAGGGGGTCTTACATGAGCTGCTTTACACAAGCCCAAGAGTCTCTGAGGGTCTCTGAGAGGTGCTGTCTCTCCAGCTGATCCTTCTCCACCAGGGGCGGAAGACACCAAGGAGGCCGAGTGGGCTGGGCTGGCTGCCACACTCCCCACAGCTACAGGGAGGCGTCTAGCCATCCACTCCCTCTCAGGAAAGATGCCCGAAAGGAGGGAATAAATTTCATATGCACGCACAGAAACGGGAAAGGAGGGTACAGTCTCACCCTGCACAGAAAGGCTGGCCTGCGCATGGAGTGAGCAAAAAGCTCTGGCATTTCTTGTCTCCCCCACACCAACAGCAAACAGCTCCCGACCCTACACTCTTCTGCGGGCTTCTGTGGGCAGACTCTCCCAGCCCTGTGGGGGGGTGACGCTCTCCGCCCCGGCACTTGGCTGTGACTCTCCCACCTGCTACAGGTGGCCCCCGGTCTGAGGCAGAGCAAGTGTGTCCTCCAGGGAGCCCAGGCAGGGCCACCGTACCCTCTGCTGAGTCCGTCTAGAACATCCATGCGGAGACGGGGGAGGTGGCAAAAGTACACCTTTAGCCACAACTTGCAAACGAGCAGCTAGATTTTATTTGACTTGCAAAGTATCTCACAGGCTTCTGAATTAGTTACTATCATTTCTGAAATCTGAAGATTACACAGGAGAAAAATCTGAATTCCTAGTTTGTCTTGAAAACGAGAAAGCAGGCCAGGCGGCCAAGATCTGATGATCTGCGGGACAGTCGGCCTTTCCCATAGGGTGCACTCTGCAGCTTTCCACGGGCTCCCCCCGCCTGGTGGCCGCACATGCACGACCTGTGTGTCCCCGTGGGCATTTGCGTTTGCAACCCAGGCTTTAAACACAGCAAAATATTTCTTGCCATTACAAAAATGGCCTCGCTTGGAACTCATCAAAGATGACAGAACCATCTCGGCCCACTTCGGGTACCAAAGCTCCCCAAGCTCTTATCCATCAGAGTGGACATCACACACCACAGACACACGTCCTGAATCTTCTGGGACACCTGGTTTTCAAAGGCTCCTTTCCGCCACGCCCACAAATTGTCCCGTGCCATAGAGAGCTTCCCGTGAACCTTGGTGACACAGTTTCTATTCTACCTAGAACAGGCCCAGGGGCCCAGGGGCCAAAACCAGTCAGTCATCTCACTTCCTAAATAAAGTTTTATTGGAGTGCGGCCTCCTGTCACCATGTGCTGTGCCTGGCTGCCCTGGGGCTGGGGCTGCTCGTGGGACAGGTGAGAGAGACCACGTGACCTGTGGAGCCCGGACTAGCCATCGTCTGGCCCTGCTGAGGAGGTGTGTGAGCTCCTGAGGCCGGACGGGTGCCCAAGCCACCTCTTGAGAGGCATCCTTTGGTGTCCACAACCCAGGGTTCTCGTTTCAAATCCAAACACTCGCCCTCCCCAGGATTAGATGATCTACCCACAGGCTTTCCGTCCCGTTTCAGGGAACGAGGCCGTGGGAGAGGATGGCAGCAAGGGTGCGGCCACCCCGAGGTCTGTCCGGCCACCCTGGATGAGCCGGGAGCAGCCACCACCCTTCGCCCGAGCCCTTCTGGGGAGAGACACCGCCTCGCTCCAGGGCCTCAGTGCCTTCTCGCTCCGGCCCCAGCCCAGCCGCTCCCACCCCAAGCCCAACCCTGCGAGCCGGGGCACTTACTTCATGGGTTTGAACAGCGCCTGCCCGTAATTCTGGAAGGTCATGATGAGCTTCAGCTGCGTGCCCCCTGACTTCATGGCTGCGGGGTGGGGGGAGAGAAACAGGGTCACTCGCTGCCCTCGGCCCTCCTCACCCAAGGAACGCGCCCCACTTCATGGCGGCGGGGCGAGGGAAGCGGGCTCGCTCGCCGCCCTGGGCCCCTCCTCGCCCGGGAACCAATAGCTTCCGGGCCTAACGCGCAGGCCACGGGGGTCCCCGGGGCATGGCGAGGGTGTGCAGTGCCTGGGAAGGCTGGGTCCTGCAATGAAGCGTCCACAGACCCCTCCTCACACGAGGGTGCTGGAACTGGGGCTGACCCCGCCACGGCCCTAAGGCCAGATGGCCGGTTCTCACACCCCCACACCCACATGCCTGCAGAGGCCCACAAACACCTGCCTACCCGCACACACCCACACGCCGACACACGGCAGGAGGGCTTGCTTCTGGGTATTGCCCTAGATTCCCATCCCACCTTCCAACCCAGTCCCACGGATGTTTCATGACTGAAACCTGCTTAGGACTTTTCCAGTAAGCAAGGCAGCTGATCAAACATTCATACCCCATGAACCATGTACTTCTGTAGAACACCACCATAAGTGCCTGGCTTTTAAACTGGGACGCAGAAGCAGGCACTGGTGCTCAGCGGTTATCGTTCAGAGTAGAGCTGGGGGTGAGCTTGATGATCTGCTCTTCCTTATCTGGGCTTTCTAAGTTTCCACAATAGATATTTACTACATTTTCAGTCAGACGAAGAAAAGAACGATTAAAAAATGCGTGGCCTGATTAAGGCTCATTCAGTGTTCCCATTTCCACTTAATAACGAGGGTCACCGGATTCAATTGTGGGCCCCAACTTTCTGGGCCAGTTGGGGACTTGTAATCCTGGCTTTTTAAATCACAAAATATTATGCAAATCTGGCCAGTTTCATTGCTCTGCTCTAGAAGCAGGGCCCATCCGCACAGCTGCTTCCCCGACCCGTGTGTGTGGCTGGGCTCCGGGTCTGGGGAACACGTAAGTCATTAGGAATGAAAGGGCATTAAAATCTCACAGTGACCAAGGACCCCAGGCTCCCTGCCGATGGGCCTATGCTTTCCACCTGTCCACCACACTGTCTATGCGGTAAGGCATTGAAGCCCTGCTCTAAATTCGGACGTGATCTTCCGGCAAAGACACAAGCTGCCCCGAGTCACGACAAAGGCCAGCAGTGTCCACCTATGTGGGCAGGAGAGGCAGACCCACCAGCCTGTGCACTGAGTGGCCTGTCCCCACTGCCGCTGAGGAGGGACCCGGGCAGTGATCGGGGTAAGGCGCCCGCAGGTGGCAGGGCCGGGACACGGGTTAGGCCTTGAGAAAGAAGGTGCAATGTGGGGTTTTCTTCTTCAAGATCGACTGAGGGCTGTGACTCTAGGAAATCTCACTTCATTCCTGGGAGAAGCCCAGGATGTGAATGCAGGCCCTGGGGCCAGGCCTGATGGAGACGCCTCACCCGGTGGACAGAGGGCAGTCAGAGCCTGGCAGACCCCAGCCTGGGCAGGGCCACTGGGTGCGGACGCGACCAAGGCCCACGAGGCTGGTGGAGGAGAAGCTGCCCTCGCACGCACCCCAAGTCACTCTGCTCCATGGACTCATCTCAGGGACCAGGTCCCTCTTCCTTCCAACCCCCCACTTCATCCCTCAGAGGCCACCGCTGGATCCAGGCCACCATCCTCAAACCGCCGGCACCTCAGACCCCAGCGGGCCTCCAGCCGGCTCCCAGCACAAGCCCCCCAGGGCCACCGTCCTCACGAAGCCCATCTGCCCGACGCCCCTCAGACACACTCCGCTCCCCTCCCAGCCCACCCCAAACACCCCCCTCCTGCTAACCCGGCACCTTGAGGCCAAAGACGATAGCTCCGAGTCTTCCCTGACCTCCCTGACGAATCACCCCAGGTGTGTCAGTGCACGTGATGGACCAGGGCTGATCCGTCAATACCAACAACACACTGCGGGCTGCACTTGCTGACGCACGTGACAAGAGGGCCCCGTGCTCCTATTCCATAACCTCATCAGCGTGGCAGACTCCTTGCCGCTCAGACACCAGACGCCTGGGTGTCACTCCCTGTCCTCCCCCAGAACACAACATAGAAATTTCAACACCCAGCCATCCCATCAGAAGAACCCCAAGAAACGTTGGCATTTTACAAACACAAATTAACTTTCAATGTGGAAAAAAACGAACAACTGCTTTATAGCAATATGCATGGACGCCAGGGCTGGGCCCTGGTCTGTGTGACCTTGGGCGAGTCACCTGACCTCCAGACAGCTCCGGCAGAGCTGCCAGGAATTCCCAGAAGGACCGAGAGAGGCCCTTGGAGGAGGAGACAGCCCTGAAGGGGAAGGCCTGTGGCCGGGGCGGGGGTCACTCAGCAGGGTGCTTCTGGGAAGGAGGGGATGGGGGAGGGAGGACAGGGGTTGGGGTCCTGGGACACTGAGCACAGCCGCCGTGCAACCTGGGCTCCCAGTGGGAGCGAGCATGCACTGACAGGCCGCCCTTTCTAGCAAGAACCCCAGCCCATATTTCAACAGGCCGTCTCCTGACTTCTAGGTTAACCAACTCTGTGTTTAAAGCCCTGTGGGCCTCACATACATGTCCAGGTGACACTGCCCACGCTCAGGGTGCCTCCAGCCTCGCCAGCCTCGGTCTCAGTCATCTCATCTGTGAGCGGACCGACAGCTGCTGTGGTCAGGCAGTCATGGCCCCTGTCACGGCCCCTGGCTCACCGTGAGGCCCAGAGCGAAGCCCTGCCATTCCGGAAGTGGACGGGGATGGACGCAGGGGAGGGCCTAGGTCTGGAGAATGTGACACCCAGAGGGCTCCGGTCACTCTGTCCTCCCACCTTGTCCCCCACGTGCCTGGGCTGGGAGTCCTAGACTCTGTGCCACACGGAGCCCCGGGTGCCCACGGCCCTTGGTTCCCAATAAGAGGGCACCGGTGTGCTCACCCGCCGGTCAGGGGTGAGCACTGTGGGTCCTGCTGCACTAGGGTGGGGGCTGATGCACAGACAGACGATCAGGGAGAGACACACACACGGACACACAGAGGCTTGAGCGGCTAAAGAGCTGATCTGGGAGCTGACACGGGCCCCGGGCTGCCTGGGCTCCCCTGAAGGCGGCAGAGGCCTCGGCCACAAGAGAGGCCACACCCATGCCGTCCAGTGCCTGTCCCACAGCAGCCACAGATGCTTTCACCACAGCCGCCTCCAGCCCAGACTATGGTCTATTTTATGCTTTTCCTTAAGTCGGCCACCTTTTATTTTGCAAGCTATCTGCATGTAAAAGGGAAACGGCAGCATCGCCCTCGTGGGGACCAGCTGCCGCCTGCAGTGAGAAGGGCCGTGAACGTGGGGCACCAGGGCACACCCTCCAGTCTCCAGCTGCTCTCGTGGCAGCAGTGGCTGCTGTGCTTCTGCTCAGCACAGAGGAAGCGCTCGTGACCTCAGCCCGTGTGCTGTGGGCTTTCCCTCCCGACCTTCCACTGGGCACCGGAAAGGGTTTGAAGTGGGCACTGGGTTGCCGGCCACCTTCCAGGCTCCGCCAGAAATTGTCCTTTGTGGCGGTCGCTGTGCAGCTCATCGAGCATCTTCAGTTTCTTCCCCGTGGTCAGCCACGCCAGGTGCGGGGACCGTGACCTGCGGTGGCGGTTGCCACTGGGAGTGAACAGGAGGGGAAGGTGGTTTTCCTGAGACTGGAACTGCCTGGCGAGGGGCACAGCATTCAGTTAGTCAGATGGACAGTGCCTCATGCGGGCCACCGTGGCGGAAGGTCTTTGCTCCTCGAAGCTTGTGGCCAACTTGCCTGGCTCTGGCTAGACCCACTCTTCCTGCCTGGCAGGTCAGTTAGTGTCGAGGACTTGTGTCCCTCCGTTTGTCCAGGCATGGCCCCCCCACCGGCTCTGCCCCGACCCTGACGGAGGAAGCGCCAAGTCTGGGTTTCAGGCCCGAGGCCACCCAAATGCCCACAGGCCAGGGTGCCTTCTTCCTCTTTTGCTGCTCAGTGAGTCTTAGCACAGAGTCGGTCATTGTGCCGTTGGTTCTTTGCATCCATAATCGTGCAGGACAGTGATTTAATTATCCCAGTCCGGCTGACGGCTGCCTGCCTGACGTCGGGCTGGACGGAGGTGGATCATGTCCTGCTCCTCTTTTGGTGGTGGCTGGTGACCAGGCAGCCAGGAGCTGGCTATAAATAAACCTCTGCTGGCCATAACCAGCTGTCCTGTGGGCCACACGGAGTGCCGCGAATTAGGTCGAGTGGCTCAGGGCTGGGAGGCGGAACGGCGTCTTGTGAAGAAGGTTTGGGAACCTCGGGCACCATTCTCCGCACCAGTACGTCCGGGCTCATGTGTAATAGCGAGACGAGCAACTTGAGATTAAAGTGAGCAGCCGGGAGCCCTGACGGATGACAAGACAGAACCCTGAGCCTCACAGGGCGTTAGCCGTGGGCAAGCTCCTGGTGCTGGGTCTTCCCTGGCTGCGGCCTGTGGTAGAGGGTAGTGCTGGTCTTCGAAGTCCCCATGCCAGTGCCGGGTCGCAGCAGTGCCAGGGTGTCTGGGTGGCAGACAGCACCTGTCCGGGGGCACTGGGCTTGCACCTGCCTGCGCGGCTCGGTGCAGCGAGGGACCCGTCCCTGGGCTGCTGTCTCAAGCAGCTGGGCCTGGACCCAAAACCTCCAGGTGGAAGTTTCTACTCAGAAGGACTTCTGGAGCAGCCACGGCTGAGTCAAGTCGACTAGGGAAAGCAGGGCAGCCCCCCAGGAAACCGTGGGTCTCGGGATCCAGCAGTCTTGGCCCCGGGAAGCCTCTCTTGTGCCACTTCCCACAGACCAGAAATCCCGGGTCTAGGCCTGGAGCCACTCGCCTGCTCACAGGTGAGGGTTTCCTGCTTCCTCTGGAAAACAGGCTTCTTCACAAACGGGAACTCACCTGCGAGAATCTCTAGGCCCCAGGCAACGGGAGAGCAGGGCCCAGCGTCCAGGCTGAGACCCTAACGAGGCTCAGGTGTCTACTCAGCCCTGGCTCCCTGGAGGTGTGGCCAGCCTCGAAGCCCTGCTGCCTGTGGAGACCCCACCGAGCAAGGCGCCACGGGGCTTGCTCTCACCTCTTCACTCGTGTCTGCTCACCTAAGCCGCAACGACCCTGTGACGCAGAGGTCACAGGGCCATTTCCTCAAAGTCTTTGGGGGCAAAAGTACTTGGGGACCGCAAACACTTCATATGATCAGAAACCCACATGGTCGGACATGCTGCAGATCCTGTAAAGCCCCGTCTGGGGCAGAATCCCATAATCAAACACAACCTTGTCCTCAAGGGAGCATGAAGATTCACTCTCAGAGAGAAAATTATAGATTTTTAACCAGCCTCGACCATGTAGGTTTTGCCACAGGTAAGTTCAGGTTGAGTCAGGTTTTGCAAGCAAATGGGTTTCATGTGGACTTCAGATTTGCAAGTTGGAGGCTGCCGGGTCTAGACCGTAACCATCCCTGTGTTCCAGGCCAGAAGCCAGGGGACTTGAGGAGCTACTCCGTGACTGGCAGAGCCGGGATTCACACGGAGATCTCCTGGGCCAGACCCTGTGTCCTGCCTGGCACTGGGGCTCTGCCCATCCTCCACCTTCCCTTCCTTGCTGGACACCTGCAGAGCGACTGTGGACACTGGCTGTTCTCAGAGGTAGCCTCGCCTGAGAAGGCTGGACTAAAGCAACATGGCCAGCACGGTTAAGGGTCAGCTCGGCCAGCCCCTCGGTGGACAGATGGGCACAGGACCCCTGGGGCCTGATGGGTCACACCAAACTCCCAGCAGATCAGCAACTGGACAGAACTCTGAGTTACTGGCGTCAGAAAGACTTGTAACTGCTTTTGAGACATTGGTGAAGACAGTGCCTGCGACTTGGGCCCATCATGATCTGAAGCCTGCCCCGGGATGTGCACCCCTCCGGTTGCCAGGCCGCTCCCCACGGCCCCGGAGCGTTCTTTCCGCTGAAGGGCCTCAGCCCTGCCCCCACTGCCTTCCAAGCCACTGGTGACCAACGGAGACCTTCGCAGGCACCCACAAGCCCAAGAACAACGTACCAACCCTCCAAGCTCAAAAACCCCTGGGACACACTTTCCCGAAGCCAGCGGCTGGAGGCACTTTCTGTCCTGGATTCTGCAGGTTACCGAGTACCTGGAGACGCTGCCTGCCACTGCTCCACCCTGGACACACGGGCCGTCCCGGGCAGCCCGGCCCTGCCTCGCCCACAGCGTGGAACTGCACAGGCCCCTCGGGGTTCTCCGACGGAGAACCGGTTCAAAACCACAGCAGCAGCCCCTCGGTCTCGGCGGCCGCCCACTGAGCAGAAAAGCAGACAGCCACGGCCGCCAGGGAGGGCCTCTATTCCTCCACCCCCGGCGGAAGGGCTTGTGGACCAGGCAGCGACCCCGACACCACCACTGCCAGGGATCCCTGGAGGGGTGACTCGTGCCAAGTTGGCGCCCCCAGGGCTGCTGCCGCCAGAAAGACCCTCCATTCCCCTGCCCCGGAAGGTGGCCTCACGGCCCACTTGGCGCCCCCCGCAGGCGAGAAGGCCGAGCCTACGCAGGCGAGGAGGCCGAGCCCACGAAAGGGCCCCGTGGGTCTCACCGCTCATTGTGCCGCACGGCCACTGAGAGAGCAGCGAGGCGTCAGCCCTCCTGGAGGTCCTGCACCCCCGCAGCCTCCGCCACCGCAGTGTCCCGGGAGCTAGCACTCCAGGCTCCGGGTGTGACCGCGGCGCTCAGATGTCTATGAAGAGAGGCCGGCCAAGCACCCCCGATGCCGTGGCGAGCGGCACACACACGACCGCCGCGAGCGCCCCGTCACCTACCCACACTGGTGATCCTCTGAGAGCCCAGGTCGTGCAACAGGGCATCGATGGCGGGATTGTGTCTGGAGTACAGCTCATAGCGGTTGATGCCAAGGTGGAACTTGAGCCAGTTGGGGTAGGAGTCTGCCGCCGCCTCCCCCGTGGGGAGGAGCTCCTCCCCTGCAGGCCCTTCCTGCGGCCTGTGGGAAACAGAGAGGGCAGAGTCAAGCGAGAAGCAGTCGGTCACAGGACCCAGAGGAGCAGGCAGCTGGTCCCCAGCACCCAGGTGTCCAGCTCTGGCTTCGCGTGAGCGAGAGGGACTGAAGGCGCCTGTGCCCCAGGAGGCCTCCGCAGTGTCTGCACTTCTTCCGTGCCGCCACTCCACCGACTAATAACACATCCAAAGGCCTGTAATTCTTACCCGCGGGAGACACCACAGACAGCTATAACTACGGCAAGACTAATCCCAGGATGCCGGCATCAGCCCACCATCCCCGCCATGTCTGTCCCGGGGTCACCAAAACTGGCCCGGCAAGTATGATGTCAGCGGGGGTGCTGGGCTGTCGGCCCTCCCTGGGAGCGGAGGAGAGACCTATCTTTGACCACAGACTGCACAAAAATCACAGCCACGCCCAGTCTGTCGGGAACCTTCCCAGCTCTTTTGTTCCAGCAACCAGGGGTAGGAATGATGCAAGAGGCTAAATTTGATTTTCACGAGAGCAGTCCCGGTTGGGGAGATGAAGAGGCAGCCACTGTCTCCAGCAGGGCTCGGAGGGAGGGCCCACCGCCCACGTGGCTGCCCTGGTCTCTCTGGGGTCAAGGGGCCTTCTGGAGGAAGGCGGGACCTTTGGTCTGCCCGGTGGGCTGCGAGGAGAATGGCGCCCATCTCACTCTCGTTCACCTGCAGCCTGGCCCTCCGGCCCAACCTCCGTCCCACCTTGGACGCAGAGGACAGGGAGGGACCCCTCAGGATCGTGCCCTGGACCTCTCCCCAGGGAGAGCCTCGGGCTGGGGTCGCTGCTCCAGTTCTCAAGTTCCTGAGTGTGTCCTTGAATCTGGTCAGTAGGCAATGCCGGCCCCAGACAGCCAGCATGTTCAGATGGAGAGCTCGGAGCTCGGCCACGTTTCAGGGGAGAAAGGGTCTTCGGTGAGATGCCCGGAGGCCTGGCCTTTCCCCTCTGTTGCTTGGGGAACCTCTCGCCGGTATTTATTTATTCTGCCTTGCTGGTGGTTAATATTTCACTACCCTGGGTTGCAGCATCTGCTTGCTTGGGCCTGGGAGGCTGAAGGGAGGGCCGGGGGAAGGGTTAGCCAGGGCGGCCCAGGGAGATGCCCAGGCCGGCGCCCTGCAGCCTCACGGCATCAGGGGCAGGGCCCCTTCGTGGCACCTCACAGCTGCCGGCACACGCCCCTGTGCATTCTGTTCTCGGAGACGGGCTTTAGGAGACCCCCAGGCACATGCAGGCCTCTCTGGGGTCCACACCGAGCGGCTGCCCAGCCCCGGAAAGCCCGCGATCCAGCACCCGCCCGGGGAGGGCCCCCTCCCTCCCTGGCCACTCGTCGGGGCCTGACTCCACCGCCCAGGTGGCCGGGGCGGCCGCTGTCTTCCGCGCGGGGCGGGTCCTCGC